TATACCAGAGCATGATTAAGCATCAAAGGAACATAGAACAGTTGGCTTGATAAATAAATAAATATATTGAAATATAGGAATATACTTTAGTCATCAGCAAAAAGGTAAGTATAAGTATGAAGTAGCCAACAAAAGTATCAGATGCCTCATTATTATATCAAAAGTAAGTTATAAGAAGAATGAAGGATTGCAACGCGCTTCCACTCTCCTTCTAGGGCTTGTCTTGATACTTTGTTTCAAGCTTTAACAATGTCCCTCATAGTAAGACGGAAGGAGGCTCGGCACAGATTTAACAGATCACAGAATATTGCGTTGAGGACTTCGTCGCTCAAATCAACAACATCAATTCAGTCTTCCATAAGGTTTACAGTGAGATCAGATGACGCATTTCTTAAAATCTTTTCATGATGAGAAATAAAAAGTCCATTATCAACTTACTTAGGAAGTCTTTTAAATCCAGTTTGTTGTCATACATTTGAAATTGGCGTTCATATGGTAAAATCATTATCTGCTAGCCTCTACTTAAACATAACGAACGTGGCTAACACTGACTAACACACAATCCTGGTCTCAATATCTACGATCTAGTTACTGGCATTTAGGTTCAAGAAGATTAATATGACATTCTTTGTGCTGCGTGCAATATAAACTTAGTCGATTTTTAATTCAATTGATAGTCAAACCTCGCTCTTTTTAGCAATGAGACAAATCAATAATTATATGAATGCAAAATTGTTTAAGAAATGATGTTTAAAAGCATGTTCTATTATTAGTAGTTGGGCTTTTAGGCATTGACAGCTAATTTTATGCTTATAAATTGAGGGGTAGAGTAGACGATTATAAAGTCAAGTACAACGATAATATAATTAAATGGTAAACACAGTTATGCCTTCCAATAAAGAACCATAATTAATGTGAGTATGTTGTAGTATAATCAAGACCCTGTCTAAGTACGACGGGCAAGCCCATGGGAAATACAATGCTAGAAGACGAAGTTCAGATGAGAACAAATTAGTCTTTAGGCCTTAACGTCAAGATATGTAAGAAAAATAGGGCGTATCACCAGGTTTATAGCCACAATGGTGACAACTAAGTGAATCCTAACATCAGTGGATTTTAGTAAAAATATAATTGAATTGATCGAAGGTATCAAGACCAAGATGATGTGGCCTTTTGTGTGATCTCAGTTTCCTTTCGTTGTACAGAGGTTGTTTTCGCAACATGATCATATTGGTAGGAAGACTTAGAGGAATGAACCTAGTCCGGAGTCCATTGTCTTCACAATCGTTTCCAAAGGCGAACCGTGGACGTGGTGCATTCCAAGTCGTTTCGCCGGCATCCTAGTCGGCATCATCAAGGAGTTTTGCTATTCTTAGCACCATATTACAACTCGTCAAAGAGACAAGTGAAGCCGATCCTTTGACCAAACATGTGCTAAACAATTG